TGAGAGTGTCGTCGTAGCATGAGGAGTCTTCAAAACCCGTCGAGTCGCCAAAGGGGATAACGAAGAGATGGCACATTAGAGGAAGACACCACATCGATAGAAGATACAAGATAAGTATCAAGAGAAGATGGGTTGTCGAAAGAAGATGACACATCAAAAGAATGAAGCATTGCTTAAAGAATCATGGCCCATGAAAACCGACGGCGAAAGAAGCTCGGTGACAAGAGAATGGGCTTAGATCAACAATGCAAAGAGAGCCCACAAAAATCCTATACAGGGGACAATGACTAGAAAAAGGCTGACGGACATAGGTATGGTGGACTCACATGACATGAGAAAACACAAAATATCAACGGATTTGGTGGACGCAACAAAAATTATAGAAAACTAGGAAGCTAAAAAGCACACATGAACTAGATATGATGGCAGCGAAAGAAAAAATCATGGTGCCGAGGGCCAAGACCAAGCAGAGCTCCCGTGTTGTGCTTCTGACTGTGAAGAGGGCCAAGCAGAGCTCCCGTGTTGTGCTCCTAACTGTGAAGAGGGTGGTCTCTCTGAGCTAGAATAGTTAACAACAAGACCGACAGAGCCTGGTAAAGAAGAATCCGAAGCTGCAAGTAGACACTTAAGTCGCACAATATCCTGCTCAGTCAGGGACACTGCTGAAGGGGTCGGAATAGAAGCACAAGTCCTTGAAGAAGATATGTGCCCCTGGCGCATGTGCCGCTTCTTCAGAAAGCACTCAGACTCGGGATGCCGGATGACCATCCTTGTTGTAGTAGCCGCACTGAGAATGAGAGCGGCCCTCACCACTAGGAGAAGTGGGCAAGAGTGGCAGAGCACTGGAGCGTGAAAGGGGCGGTGCAGAGGCTGGGCGGGTGGCTGACTGGAATTGGGCAGACGCCATGCGTGGCTGGAGACGTGCAGCCGAGGCGACCAAAAGGAGATGAGTAGTGCAGGCCCGCAAGACAGTACAACATACGTCGAGTAGCTTCGGCCGGAACCTGGCGGACCAGCGCTAAGGAGAAGCCGTAGGCCTGCAGTAGCCGTCCGGAGAGAGGATCAGCGTCGGCCGATGCAAAATTGGATCGGGACAGAGAATGGAAAAAAAATCCAATCGAGAGGACGAATTGCGGCGTCCGGAGACCTAAACCTAGGCTCTAATACCATGTTAGGAAAGCAACTTATCTTTATTGAAGGCCCAAGGGGCATATATATATTACACATGACTTGAGGTGTAAGGAAACTAAACATAGACTAATGAGGGCTCCTGGACCAATACTAATACTCCTTAACGGGAGGAGGGACCACGTGACATGGGTGCTGTGGAGGTGAAAGGATACGTGAAAACGATGAAAGTCCCAAAAAATGGGCCCAAACTTTCGGAGCCAGTCGACACCAAGAATGGTGTTGAAGCTGCCGAGCAGAATGGTGAAACAGTCGTTGCGGAATGTCAAGCCTTCAATATGCAGTGGAATGTCATAGGCAGAGTCCTGAACCGGCGACCTGATCACCGTTGGCCACCATCATACGGAGGACGGGGTCTGCCTCGGGAGTAAGGCTGGTAGGCAGTAGGGCACTAGAGTCGATCAAGTTGTGTCTCAAGCCTATCTAGCAAGGCAGTGAATGTCGTGTCCTTGATGTAGACACGCAACTGCATTATGCCCATCGTGTGAAGGCTCCAAAGGCCGGTGATGGCATGAGACCGGGGGGTGGGGGGCTTTTGATCCATCCTTGTCGCAAAGGTCATGTGGAGCGAAGTCGTCAACCTCGATGAAGAAAAGCTTGGCGCACCGGTGGCCCGGGACATAAGGCTCATCACAGTTGTAGCAGATGTCTCACGACGCCGTTCGGCAAACTCGGCTGGAGTGAGATGGAGAAGTGCTGGTGGTGCCGGGGTAGCTGATGCCGGAGTTGGGGCAGGGGCAATACAAGGCGTGGAAGACCGGGCACTAGGTGCAAGGTGCCGCTACACGAGTCCAAGGAGGCTGTGACTGTGGCGCCGAAGAAGGCGCACGATGGTGCTGCTCATTCGCCTTGGCGAAGGCAATAGCGGAGTGGAGGTCAGTGGCCGCTGAAGCTTGCCGTCTTGGCAAAGGCCCTCAGGCAACCTTGTGGTGTGCTGGAACTACTGCTGGGCTGGCAAAAAAAGCTCACTGTTACGGCAGAGAAGTGCCATGAACTTGCTGCTGTAGTCAACAACCGAGTGGGTGATGATAGGCGGGCAAATGTGTGAACAGATGGCCCGAACTTGAGGTGGCAAGGCTCCTTGAACCGCTCCCATGTTGGCATGCCATAGTCACGCTCCAACTACAAGCACCAAAATTTAGCGTCGCCCTGCTGTTTTAACTTTGTCAACCTCGTGTGTGCGCTGACCCTAGAAAAGTTGGTCGCACCGGTTGAGCCAAGAGCCAACTGAGGGGGTCGATGGAGCCATCATACGTGGGGAAATCCAGTTTGTGGAAGCGAGGACCGAACTAGAGCCAGAGCCAACATGAGTATAAGGGTATGGTGGGACGGAAGTTAGAGGCGAGGCATTGTTTTGTAGGCTGCGTGGAGGGCGGCTTCCAGCCATGAAAGGGGTTGCTGCTGGTAGGTTGAGGGATGAACATGGTACTGTGGTGGCAGCAGCTGGTGGTACGCGGGATAAGCGGTGTGGCTTGGGTTGGGGCACAGGCTGGTAGGAGGTCTGGTGGGCGGCTGGGAGGTGGATTGAAGCAATCTGGGTGGAGGTGGTGGGTCGGCAGGACGTGCCTCATGGTGGCTGAGAGCGTGCAGTGAAGTCGGTGCTGGTCTGGCCTGCGGGTGTGCCAGAGAAGACCCTGCCATCGCCAGGCCCTGCACTGGGGTGTAGAGACAGGCTTCCCAAAGAATCCACTGTAGCCACCAGAGCTGAGGAAAGCGAGTGCTTGATCCTCCATGCGGTGGGCCACAAAAGCTTTGAGTTGATCAGAGATTTCTGTGATCTGGGCTACGGCGTCGGCGTTGAGGACCTCGTCCCCAGGTATCTTAAATGTATCTAATACTCCCTCCGTCCCAAAATATAAGAACGTTTTTTACACTATACTAGTGTCCAAAACGTTCTTATATTTTGGGACAGAGGGAGTACCAAAATTGGAAGAAATCAAATTTATAATTACTCTAGGCAGCTATGGTAAAGAAAATACTCTGAATTGACTTGCTTTATCCACCGGATTAAGTCCCTTCTTATAGGCGAACTAACTTGGCCATCAAGCCAAAACCAAACTGATTACAATCTGGACTCTCTCTCTATCTATCTAAACGGACTCTGAAGCTTTTAACTACTTAAATTCTGACTCAAACTGAAGGCTAAGGGAAACCGAGTCTCCCTGCTACTTACGCTTCCTATGGTGGCTCCTTTGTTGTATTGTTGTGGGCCCTACGGCTATAAGTCTGACCCCACATTCATATGTACCTTGCAGACTTGGATCTTCCAGGATTTGGTTACATCTTAATTTGTGTTCCATGTTACTGTGCACTGTTACTTATATCTATCCTGATCCATCTTCAGGACTTCTGACAAAGAAGTTCATCAATTTGCTGAAGCAAGCTGAGGATGGCATTCTAGATTTGAATAATGCTGCAGAAACACTAGAGGTTACACACTGTTATCACTGCAGCTGATACTTAATTGCTTCCAATTGGTACAAATTTCACATATTTTTCTACTATTCAGGTTCAAAAGCGACGCATATATGACATCACAAATGTCCTCGAAGGAATTGGTCTTATAGAAAAGACACTTAAAAACAGAATTCGTTGGAAGTAATGCTATTTTCCTTTCTTGAACTTGTCTTCCTTCATTTAGTCTTATTTCTTTACCACTTGGTGTGTTATATAAAGCTAACCCCACATAACATACAGGGGCTTGGATGATTCAGGAGTGGAATTAGATGATGGCCTTTCAGGTTTGCAGGTATCTGTTCATGTGAATTTGTTATTCCTACTGAAATTGACATATTAATTCTACGCGCACCTGAATACTTTGTTTGAGATATATTATGATAACGATATCAAAGCTCAGTATTGTATAACCTATTCTTTCAGACAGAAGTTGAAAATCTTAATTTGCAGGAGCAAGCCTTAGATGAGCGTATAAGGTTGGTAGTGTTGCAAACAACAAACTTCAAATTCTGGGCTTCTCTACAAAACATACAATCTGAGCATGATATAACCTGGAATCTTGTTTTTTTTGCAGTGATATGCGCGAAAAGCTAAGGGGGTTAACGGAAGATGAGAACAGTCAAAGGTAATTGTATTTCTTGTGTTGCGTCAATGTTGAATGATGTATAAAACCTGACTTTCATTTGTCCATTAGATGGCTCTATGTGACGGAAGATGATATCAAGGGATTACCCTGCTTTCAGGTCTGCTACTCTACTTACATGGGTGAACTGCACGTCTTACAGACGTGGGCCGCGCGGCCAGGAGCAGCCGACGGCCGCATCAGGCAAGGCGCAGGCTGGACAGGAGTCCTGATCCGGGCACATTAGTTCCTAGACTAGTTTATTTCGTATAGGTTTCTAGTTTGTTATTAGCCCATGGGGCCTTTATATATCAGATAGTTAGCACCCTTTAGGGATAATCAATAAAGTTATTTCCTTCTATCTTCCCCTCCCGCATCATAGAGCAGCCAGGCAAAAACCCTAGCGCTCCTATCCACCGCGACTACGAACTACGTAGTCGAGGTCCTGCTGTCTTGGGCACCGAGGCCCTTGACAACTTGGTATCAGGTTCCAGGCGATCCTCCTCCTCGTCCACGCTCCATCCGCCGGCCGCTTTCCCCCCTGTGTCCGCGCCCAGCTCCCCGACATCGCCACAATCCGCTGCCGCCTCGGTCACTTCCGGCATGGCAGAACCGACCACCGCGGATCTGGCTAAGATGATCGAGGCCTTGACGGCCACGGTGACGTCCCTGCAGTCGTCCGTCACCGCACTCCAGAAGGACAAGTCCTCCTCTTCGTCCAGCGCTGCCGCCGCCCATGATGGGCAGCACCACAATGATCGGCCGCCCAGGTTCCAGAAGATGGACTTCCCCAAGTTCGACGGCAAGTCTGATCCGCTCGCCTTCATCAACAGATGCGAGTCCTTCTTCCATCAACAACGGATCGCCGAGGAGGAGAAGGTGTGGATGGCGTCCTACAATCTCGAGGGTCCTGCCCAACTATGGTATATGCAGGTCCAGCGCGACGAGGGCACACCTCCGTGGCGCCGCTTCTCCGAGCTGCTCAATCTCCGCTTCGGGCCACCGCTGCGCGCTAACCCGCTGGGCGAACTAATGGCGTGCAAACGCACGACGTCCGTCGTCGACTTCCAGGAGCGGTTTGAGGCACTCCTTCCCCGGGCAGGCACCTTATCCGAGACACAGAAAGTGCAGATCTTCACCGCGGGACTCCAGCCACCCCTCAGCCTCGACGTGGAGATCCATAACCCACAGTCCCTCGCCGTCGCCATGAGCCTCGCCCGCAAATTGGAGCTGCGCGACCAGTGCGCGCTTTCCGCCGCGCCACCGGTGCGTTTTCCACAGAAGGGCATCCTGCCGACACCAGGACCACGCCTCGCGCCCCCCGCTTCGGCCCCACCAGCCGCACCTCAGCAGGGCCACAATCTGCCGGACGGACGCCCAATCAAGCGTCTCTCCCAGACAGAGATGGAGGAACGCCGTCGCCTGGGCCTTTGCTTCAACTGTAACGAGAAGTTTGGCAGGGGCCACAACCGCGTGTGCCAGCGCATCTTTCTCCTCGACTTAGCGCCGGACGACGACGACGACGACGCGGCCTCCGCCACTGAGGATGCATCGCGGGCCGACCCTCAAATCTCGCTCCACGCGATCGCCGGCGTGCGCACGAGTGAAACCATGCAGATGCAGATTACTCTCGGAGGTGTCTCCCTCCTCGCCCTGATCGATTCAGGCTCCACCCACAACTTCATCGCCGAAGAGGCGGCCGCTCGTGCTACGTTACCGCCCCCCACCACAGAGAAGATGCGCGTCACGGTGGCCAACGGCGAGCGCGTTCCGTGCCAGGGCGCGTACCGCGTCGTGCCCTTCCGCATCGGCCACGAGGAGTTCGCGGAGGATTTCCTCGCCTTGCCGCTCGCGGGCTACGACATCGTCCTGGGCACGCAGTGGCTGGCGTCGCTCGGACCGATCCTGTGGGATTTCCGAGCCCTCTCCATGACATTCTGGCGACGGGGCCATCGGGTGTGCTGGCACGGCATTGCAGGACCGGACGGGCCAGCCCTAAAATCATGCAGCGGCCGCGACTTCCTGGACGCCATCATCACCGAGTTCGACGGCATCTTCGCCGACCCCTCCGGCGTGCCACCGCCCCGCAGCCGCGATCACGGCATCACCCTGCTACCTGGTTCCGCCCCGGTGGCCGTCCGTCCGTATCGATACCCGGCCGCGCACAAGGACGAGCTGGAGCGTCAGTGCGCCGCCATGCTCGCCCAAGGTATCATCCGTGCGAGTTGTTCCGCATTCTCGTCCCCGGTACTGCTAGTCCGCAAGGCCGACGGGTCCTGGCGCTTCTGCATCGATTATCGCGCCCTGAACGCCATTACTGTCAAGAATGCGTTCCCGATTCCGGTGGTGGACGAACTCCTCGACGAGCTACGGCACGCTCGTTTCTTCACCAAGCTCGATTTACGTTCCGGCTACCACCAGGTGCGGATGCGTGCGGAGGACATCCCGAAGACAGCTTTCCGTACTCATGACGGCCTCTACGAGTTTCTGGTGATGCCGTTCGGACTCTGCAACGCGCCGGCCACGTTCCAGGCCCTCATGAATGATCTGCTGCGGCCATACCTGCGCCGTTTTGTTCTCGTCTTCTTTGACGACATCCTCATTTTCAGCGAGACATGGGCTGACCATCTCCGACATGTGCGCACCGTCTTCACGGTCCTGCACCAGCACCGGCTCTTCGTCAAGCGCTCCAAATGCGCGTTCGCCGTTGAATCAATCGCATACCTGGGTCACACCATCTCCGCTGCAGGCGTGGCCATGGATCCGGAAAAGGTGCAGGCAGTGGCGGACTGGCCGCAACCACGCTCGGCGCGCGCGGAACGGGAACTCATCGGCCTGGTGCTCGCGATTCGCCATTGGAGGCCGTACCTATGGGGGCGTCAGTTTGTTGTAAAAACGGATCATTACAGCCTCAAATTTCTGCTTGACCAGCGTTTGGCCACCATCCCGCAGCATCATTGGGTTGGCAAACTCCTGGGATTCGACTTTACGGTGGAGTACAAGGCAGGTAGTACCAACACGGTGGCGGATGCACTTTCCCGCCGTGACACGGAGGAGACGACGATCATGGCGGTCTCAGGGCCTCGTTTCGACTTCATCAATCGCCTCCGGCAAGCGACGTCCACTGATCCGACGCTCGTCACACTGCGGGAGGATATCACGGCAGGTGCGCGGCAACAGCCTTGGGCGCTCTCCGACAGCCTCGTTACTTTCAACGGCCGCCTCTACATTCCACCGTCATCCCCGCTACTCCAGGAGATTCTCAGTGCCGTGCACGATGATGGGCATGAAGGCGTCCTACGCACATTGCATCGTCTCCGCCGCGATTTCCACGCACCTAACCTTCGCAAGACGGTGCAGGAGTACGTCCGCACTTGCGGTACTTGCCAGCGGTACAAGTCCGAGCACTTGCACCCCGCTGGGCTGCTACTGCCGCTGCCGGTACCCACGGGCGTGTGGACTGACATCGGCATCGACTTCGTGGAAGCGCTTCCTCGAGTAGGCGGGAAGTCTGTCATCCTCACCGTGGTGGATCGCTTCAGCAAGTATTGCCATTTTGTGGCGTTAGCCCACCCATACACGGCAGAGTCAGTGGCACAGGTGTTCTTCACTGAGGTTGTTCGTCTCCATGGCGTGCCGCAGTCCATGGTCTCTGACCGCGACCCCGTCTTCACCTCCGCTTTTTGGCGAGAGCTCATGCGCCTCACGGGGACAAAGCTGCACATGACGTCAGCATTTCACCCGCAGTCGGATGGTCAAACGGAGGCTGCTAACAAGATCATTGTGATGTATTTACGGTGTCTTACCGGGGATCGTCCCAAGCAGTGGCTCCGGTGGCTTCCCTGGGCTGAGTACATATACAACACCGCCTACCAGACAGCAACCCAAGAGACTCCGTTCAAGCTTGTGTATGGCCGTGACCCTCCCACTATTCGCTCTTACGAGCCCGGCGACACACGGGTGGCTGCAGTGGCCAGGAGCATGGCTGAGCGCGACGAACTTATCGAGGACGTCCGCTATCGTCTACGACAGGCACAGGCGGTCTATAAGTCCTACTACGACAGACGTCATCGGGACATTCGGCATGAGGTGGGCGATTGGGTTTGGCTTCGCCTTCGACAGCGCGCCGCGTCCTCTCTCAACTTGCCAACCAGGGGCAAGCTCAAGCCACGATTCTATGGGCCGTACCGCATTTCAGAAGTGATCAACGACGTGGCATACCGTCTTGAGCTTCCGGCACGCTCGCGCCTCCATGACGTGTTCCACGTGGGCCTCCTCAAGAAGTTCTTCGGCATTCCTCCAACTACACCGCCGGGATTGCCTTCGATCCACAACGGGGCGGCTGTTCCAGAACCAGAGCGCGTGACTCGTGCGCGCCTAGCACGCGGCGTTCGCCAGCTACTCGTCCACTGGAAGGGTGAAGCAGCTTCGTCAGCTACATGGGAGGATCTTGACAGTTTCGTCGAGCGCTACCCCGCTTTTCAGCTCGAGGACGAGCTGCTCGTCGAGGGGGGGAGAGATGTCATGTGGGGCACGTCTTACAGACGTGGGCCGCGCGGCCAGGAGCAGCCGACGGCCGCATCAGGCAAGGCGCAGGCTGGACAGGAGTCCTGATCCGGGCACATTAGTTCCTAGACTAGTTTATTTCGTATAGGTTTCTAGTTTGTTATTAGCCCATGGGGCCTTTATATATCAGATAGTTAGCACCCTTTAGGGATAAGCAATAAAGTTATTTCCTTCTATCTTCCCCTCCCGCATCATAGAGCAGCCAGGCAAAAACCCTAGCGCTCCTATCCACCGCGACTACGAACTACGTAGTCGAGGTCCTGCTGTCTTGGGCACCGAGGCCCTTGACATGAACAATGTCACACGTTAGTTGTTATCATTTGCAGTTGACTTTACAGTATTTCTACAGCAGTGATTCTGTATGTTAACATGTATTTCGGGCTTTTCAGAATGAAACTCTAATTGCAATAAAAGCTCCTCATGGTACTACACTTGAAGTACCAGATCCTGACGAGGTAGGATTAGTAAAATTAGTGGAGATTTGCACACACAAATGGTTTTGTGAACTGATTAATGACTTCTTATGTATCTGCTCCCTGTACAGGCTGGTGATTATCTCCAGAGGAGATACAGAATCGTATTAAGAAGTACCCTGGGTCCAATAGATGTTTACTTAGTTAGGTAATGCTGCATTCCTGTAGTGGATCTAAATATTTGTACTGAATTTTACCTGATCAGAACCTGTTGTATTTTTAGTCAATTTGACGATGGATTTGAGAATTTGGGTGGTGCTGCAACACCTCCAAGGCATACAAATGTCCCAAAATCTGGACCTTGTGAAGACTTACATGCAACAAACGCTACACAAAGCAGCAAATCAATCAATGTGGAATATAATATTCAGCACAGGCAGAATACTCCACAAGATCCTAGTTCTTCAAATGATTATGGAGGGATGACAAGGATAATCCCGTCAGATGTTAATGTAAGTCCGCTTTTCTCAAGTTTATTTTCGAAAATTTCCCCTGTATCATAAAATTCAAATAAAATGTTACTCCCTCCATCCCAAAATATAAGAACGTTTTTGACACTAGTGTAATATAAGAACGTTTTTGACACTAGTGTAGGGAGTACAACATTATGCATGACTGTACAAACTTTTGTTCTGCTCTTTCTGTTAACTTTTTTTGTTCCGTGAACTCTCACATGCAAATCCTATGTGTAAAACTAACTATTAAGTTTGCAGAAGCATGCAGTAAGTTTTTCTCTATAGTAATACTCCTCTTGTGCAAAGATATCGAAAATGATCATGACGGAACTATAATGCTACTCAATTTTGCAGACTGATGCTGATTACTGGCTCCTAACAGAGGGTGACGTTAGTATTACTGACATGTGGGAAACAGCACGTATCCTTTGTTTGATCATTCATTAAACCTTATTAGGCTATTCACTAATGTTTGAAATATATACATGCTAAGTAGTGATTATTTCAACTTGAAGTTCTTAACATGGAAAATAGCAGAAGTGCAGTGGGACACCGCTGTGTTTTTACCCGAAGATGTTAGCACCCCACATGCACATCATAGACCGCGGATGCAGGTTCCAAGCATGGATCAACCATAAGGTCATGGCGGTGAAAACTTGACATATGGAATTCCTGGAGCGCTGTTTCAGGAAATACTGATTTCAAAATGGAAAGATCAGGGCAGCAAGTTCAGACTGATCACCGTTCTGAATTTGCTGTTTGTTATGGAGACGATTGGTGCCAACTAACTTATCAGTCTGCTGCCTTGTTTGTTCTGGCACCTGTCCTTCAGTTGAAAAGGTGCCCATGTGCATATTGCACCTTGAATTCGGGCTTGCTATGCACATTCGGTATCTGCTTTATTTAATCTCTAACTGAGTATATTTTGCAAGGCAATAGTGGCTCTGTAGCTCTCTTGGGAATTAATACGAATCTTTTTGAGCAAAAACAGTAGGGAAGTCCCCTGTTGTGACTCTTCCATTATATAAATAGAGTTTATACAAAGGGGTAATACAAGTGGAGTTGGGTGAGACAAGGGCATGTCACAAATGATCTAACCAAGTTTGCATGCCCTCCACCAAACTATGTTTAGCTCTCTTTATGATTAAACCAAAATGTTCATTGAAGCTAATGTCACTGAAGCCTAATACCCAGCAATAAGAGCTTCCTAGTAGCACATGATGTCCAATCTGTTTCTAGCTTCAGTAAGCATCTTAAGCAGTTCCAATTCTGGTTGCCATTCAATCTTTAGGGACAACCAGAAGTTTTGACTGAATTCATAGCTGAAGAAGATATGAAGCAAATCTTCATTGGTCTCTTCAGTACACACATGTACTGTCATCAATATGTATGTTTTTTTTTCTGGTTATAAGGTCTCTGGTGTTTAAATTTGTCCTAAATCAGGAGGTAGAAGAAAAATTCCGATTTAAAAGACATGAAGATTTCCATATCCATCTAAATGGAGCTGGGGCTGGTGGTGGGCCTCCAATCATCTCATTATATGCCTTTTTTGGTTTTTTAATATGCCTTTTTGGTGGAATGAGCTTGACAGAACCCTATATCCATGTCAGTGGCGGATCCAGGATTTAAAGATACCTGGGGCGGACTTTTTAAAAGAAACAAAAAATTGAAGCCACGATATAATCAAGTAAGACAATAAAATTAAATTGTCAACTGTGCATTCAGGCAACATGATCAACACAATTAATTATTCAAAATAGTTTCATTCTCAACTCTCAAGAACTAGAGAAAGAAACATAACACAATTTTTTTATGAAGTCTAACTTGGACCCCCGCTTGTTGAATCTTCCATTATTTATCAAAAAATGTCTAATTTTCAAGTCCATTGCAATACATTAAAGATGTAAACAAGCAAATTAATTTAAATCTTAGCACAACATGACACTTGTTCAAAACAAAAGATAAGACATGTTTTTGCCACTAAGTTGCCAATGTTGGCTGCTCGATTGTACTCCTCCGTCCCATAATGTTATATTACGGGACGGAGGGAGTAGTTTTGGGCCGACGGCCCCAGAAACAAGGTACTCCATTCTCTTTCTCCATCCAGTACTTGGACGGACCTGGTCAACGCCACGGGAAGGCAGAAGTGGAGTGCCATGTCCTGCAATTGGAAACATCAAGCCCAGGCTGCGGATAAAATGTAATGGGCTAATCTCATCTTTCATTGGGCCGCCCATATATGACCCCACGCTGGCGCCGCCCCTAATCCTTGTCATCATAGCTCATAAGGCCATTTAGTAGGTCATTGAGCATGAATTATAATTACATTGTTGAACAACAAAGTAGACATTTGGAGATGGAACATATCATGTATATTTTCCTGGGCTTATATTCTTAGGCTTTGAAGACACAAATCTTGATGCGGAGCATCCCACGGTCATCCCCATGCACGTACCTACATCCCCCACGACACCACTTGGGCCTATGACAAGAGCTCGAGCAAAGACTATCGAAGATAAGGTGAACCCGCTCCTCTCTGAACTACCCCTTTCTACACATGAGTCATGGCTACTACCTCAAGCGGAAACATTATGTGTGATCAGGTACTTAGGAGAAGGCCACGGAGCAGCTACATTCAATGGCCAAGACGGCGAGGACACTGAGCGTGAAGGCCAAGAAGAAGAGACGCCGAAGATGACACAGCCACCGGACGACCGGTCGGGACCAGAAGTTCGGCGCCTGAAGCCCAGCCTGCCCAAGTCCCAGCCGGCACATGCTACAGCGAGCGGACGTCCGGCCCGGCCCGGACGACCGGCCTCACCTCCCAGGGAGCGGACGACTGGCCCGCACCGGACGATCGCTAACTGCACACCCGAAGAGAAATTAGCGAAAGTCCAAAGACACCGGACGTCCGGCACCACCATCACATAACAGAATCAGCGGAAGACCGACGACTACTGGACGTCCGGCCGTTCATGAGCCACCGAACGACCGGACCCCAGCGGACGTCAGTTGCCTGTGTGCCCGCAGCCTCGGGCTGATGCCCTTGTACCCCTTCACTTCGGCCCCCATTAGTACTACGACTATAAATAGACCTCTCCCACCTCCTAGCTAAGGTCAGCGTTGTGATAGCTCATTTGTGAGATAGAGCCTCGCTCATCCATCCGGATCTGCTCCTTCGAGAGAGACCATGCCTTTACGGAGAAGATCCTTTTGGATTCAAGGCCCCTAATGGGAAGAACTCAAGACCTCCTCTCGGAGAAGAACCGGTTACCCTATTGATGCGGAGCATCCCACGATCATCCCCATGGACGTGCCTACGTCTCCCACGACACCACTTGAACCTATGACAAGAGCTCGAGCAAAGGCTATCGAAGATAAGGTAAACTCGCTCCTCTCCGAACTCCCACTCCCTACTTATGAGACATGGCTACTACCTCATGCGGAGACCCTATGTGTGATCAGGTGTTTGGAGGAGAGTCACGGATCAACTACACCTAATGGACAAGACGACGAGGACACCAAGTTCAACGGACAAGAAGAAGGCCCGCTCGAAACTCCCAGTCTTCGGACGACCGACGCCGACCGGACGTCCGACGCCTGGAGGCTCCAAACGACCAGCCAAGTCCCAGCCTTCGCACGCTACAGTGGCCGGACGACTGACGCCGACCGGCCGTCCGACACCTCCCAGCGCCCGGACGACCGAGCCTCTTCGGACGACCGACACCACCACACCCAAGCCAAAACATTGGAAGAACGGACGACCGGACGATCGGACAACTGGACGACCGACCCCGACTAGACGACTGACAATCCCTGACCAGAGCCAAAACATCGGACGCCCGACCGACATCGGACGTCCGGACCCTCGTGAGCCTTCGAACGTCCGACGTCTGTGCGTCCGCCCGTGTGTTGGGTCGAAGCCACTTACCCTTTCGTCCTCTTAGACTATAAATAGACCTCTCCACCTCCTAGCTAGGGATAGCGTTGTGATAGCTCATTTGTGAGATAGAGCCTCGCTCATCCATACGGATCTACTCCATCGCGAGGGACTGACACCTCTTCAGAGAAGATCCACTTGGATTCAAGACCTCCTCTCGGAGAAAACCATCTTCAAGATCTCCTCATGGAGAAGAACCGGTTACCCTATGTATCGTCCCTTGTTGGATTTGGATCTTGTACCCTTTTGTGTTTTGAGGATCTAGCGCATGTGTGACTTTATTCTTGTTGGTTGAGTGTTCTCTCATGTTTTTCCCTCGTTCCCCTCCTCGTGTTCTTCGTGTTCTTGGTAGGTTTCCCCTCCAAACGTGAAAGATCGGCCTCTAGGGTTCTACCCTACATCATCTTGGTATCATGAGCTACATTGATCACGTTTTTGGAGCCCCTACCCTTTGTTTTCTAGCTTGATTTTGTTGATTTCGTCCTAAATCCGAAAATCCCCACCAAAAATAGCCCCAATTTTTTTTTTGTGATTTGTTGGTGTGATGAAGTTTTGTTGGATTTGATCCATGGATTTGCTTTGCCACGTGTGGATCTAGATTTCCCCCATCCTCTCCACCATTTCCATCCACAAAATCTCTCGGATTTGACCTCTCCACCATCATCCACCACGAAAATGAGCTGTTCATCCCATGCCCGAAATCGCCCAGGCACCGACGTTCGACCGACACCGGACGTCCGACGACTTCCGGTCGTCCGACCATTCCTGACGAAACTGAATATTTTCAGTTCGGTTTCCCCACCGCTCCACCACCACTCCCGCATATGCACTTGCCTACCACCAAAGCTTTCCGCAACCACCATCGCTCACTCGTTTCACACTCCGACAAGTTTTGACACATTTTGGTGTTTGAGAATTTGAGTAGTGGTTCCTGTGTCCTATTGTGTTTCGGCTATATAGGTACGGTTCGACATCAACATCACCATCGCTCATCATCGCCAAGGACGGTAACCTCGACGACATCTTTGTCATTTCCATGCCATTGCATTGATAACCACATAGCCTTACTTTTGCATTGCTTACTGATGCGGAGCATCCCACGTTCATCCCCATGTACACTCCGACTACTCTCCAAGCCCCAAGAGGACATATGACGAGACCTCAAACATACGCCATTGGACACAAGGTGAATTCACTCCTCTTCGAACCGTCACTTTCCGCATGTGAGACATGTCTACTACCTCATGCATGGGCCTTACATATACTCAGGTACGACCAAGATGACCATGGAGAATCCAAGGACCAAGGCCAAGCATGGAAGAGGAGAAAGAAGAAGAAGAACAGAGCAAGTTAGGACTTGCCCGGATCATCCGGACCCCCAGCCGGATGATCCGGACAAAGCCCGGATGATCCGGGTAATGTGCCCGAAGACACCCGAAGCCTGCTCGACGAAGCCGGATCATCCGGACGGTCGCCCGGATCATCCGGACCCCCGACACTCGGATCATCCAGGCCACCTTCCGGATCATCCGGACCCCGCCTGCGTGCATGACTTGGGCCGAGGCCCGTGTACCCCTTCGCCCCTCACTTACCCCTTCGTGGCTTAGACTATATATAGACCCCCTCCTCCTAGATAGGGTTAGCATTGGTTTAGCTCATTTGAGATAGAGCTTTGCTCACCATACGGATCTCCTTCTC